GACGCGCCCGGCTCGCGGCTCCGCCTCCCATCTCTCCTGTGCCCAATCGTGGGCTGCACGCTCTCTCGACCCGCCCTCTGGGCGCCCCCCTGGAGCTCTGACGGCCCAATCCTGGGGCTGGCCCCACCTCCGGGCGTTCTAACTACCCAATCCCGGGAGGCCCGCCCCCTCGGTCTCACTCGGGACTCCGGTCTCATCCCCTAAACCCCCATACCTGGCCTGGGACTCTGGACCCTCGTGCCAGGCCCTCATGAGGTGCTGGTCCATGCACTGGACTGCGTATGGCCCTTACGCATCACACGCGGGGATCCCTACACTTCTGGGCTCCTGAGGAGCGCGGGGAGACTCAGGTGCAGAGGAAACCCTGAGGTTGGTGGAGGGCAGAGGATTGGAAGTCTCAGCCTTGAGAACCAATGGTATGGATGGAGTTTTTTATTTCCTGCTTTTTTTGTTTCTTTATTTCTTTCGGAGGCAGCCTTGCTATGTAGCCCAGGCTGGCCCCTCACTTTTGTAACCCTCCTGCCTCAGCCTCTTGAGTGCTGGGATTATAGGCATGCACTACCATGTCCAGCTTATTTCCAGTTTTGTGTGTGCTTGAATTTTTCTTTTTACATTATTTTCCCCCGCTGGGGATGGGAACCCAGGGCCTTGCACATGCTAGGCAAACACTACTGCTGAACTACACCCGCAGTCCAACACTTAAAATGCTTAACGGAAAAAAAAAAGTCAATCATATAAACGCTTACACTGACGCTACTGGGGGCCAGCAGGGGCCTGGAAGACTGGAAGAAAGGCGCATTAGGATGGTGGGTGCTCCGGGTAGGAAACTGAGGCACAGGGAGGGATGTCACTTGCCCGGGGTAACGGAGACTGCAGCTGCTGTGATGTGGATGTGGAAGAGGAAGGAAGAAGAGGAGGCGGGAAAGAGGGAGGCCCCGCAGCACTCGCCATCAGTGAGCAGCCAGGGCTGGGGACACTGCGAGGCCCCCTCCTTGTCCTAGGCCCCGAGGTCTGGAGGACTGGTCTCGCCCATCAGAGCTCTGGGCGGCCAGGCTGTGGGCCAGCGCTGGGCGATTCCCATCTCTGCAAAGCGAGTGCCTGGGACAGTGGCTGGAAGCCACCTCATCTATTGGGCTGTCTCTGTGGCTCCGGAGCTGACACGGTTAGAGTGAGTCCTTCGCCCTGGCCTCAGAAGGCTGAAATCATGGTATCAGCTGCTGGGTCTTCAGATCGAAACCCTTGGGCACGAGACTGCTTTCCATAAAGAGTGTGTATTTGGACAGGAGCAACACACATCCTCCCAGTTACTATATGTGGTTTTTTTGAGACAGGGTCTCTATGTAGTTCAGGCTGGCCTTAAACTCACTATGTAGCCCAAACTGGCCTTGAACTTGCAACGGTCCTCCTTCCTCAGCCTCCTGAGTGCTGGGATGATACCATGTGCTACCACGCCTGAGTATTCCAGAGACTTTAAATCATCTCTAGACAGCTTAGAACTCCTGGTACAGAATAAACACTACGCACACACATGTTCTGTGTTGTTTAGGGAATGATTGCTGGAGAGAAAAGTCTGCAGGCGTCCAGTACAGGCACAGATGTTTCCAATTTCTTTGCATCCCCGGTTAGTTGGACCTGAGGGTGCAGAATCAGAGGGCTGAATGTGCAGGGGGTGGGGACTAGGGGTGCTGCTTAGTGTTCTGCTGCTGCACCGACTTCCAGTTCCCCTTCCTGACTTCTCTACTCCCTGGCCAGGGGACCCCAGAACAGGAGCCTCGCCGCTCTGAGGCTCAGTTTCCCTCTCTAAGTGACAGTGCCCCACCTCCCTCCAAGGGCAGCCCTCGGGAGGCTGAGGCAGGGGGATCGCCATGAGTTCCAGGACAGCCTGAACTAGATAGTGAGACCCCATCTCAAAAAGACAACAAAATAGAATTCTACCCTGGGGCAGATGAGTTGCTCTTAACGCTCCACAGAGCCCAGTCCTGACCACATGCCGACCCTCATCACATCTCTCTGTTGCAGGAAGCCTTGGGAGCAGGTCCCCAAAAAGCCAAAGCGCAAGAAAAGTAAGTGGAGCCCCAGGCTGGGGGGTACAGGGGGAGAGAGTGGATGGCAGGTGGTGGAGTCAGTAAAGAAGCCAGTGCCAGGATCCCTGCCCCAGGTCACACTGCTGAGAGGCATCAGAGCCAGGCCCCGGCCCTGGAGCTGCACTTCTGACCCTTCAGCCAGCAGGGGTCAGTGTGGCTCTGCGCCCTGGGGCCGAAGGTCTCAGCCTTGTCCTGCCTGGCGAAGCCGCTGGTCCCCTAAGAGCTGCCTGGTGGCTGAGAGCCTCCTCCTCACCGTCCTTCTGATGCAGAGATCAGGCTGAGCAATCCCAAGGTGGTGGGCAGTGCCAGGCTGGAGGGCAGCTGCCTGAGATGTCCCTGGCACCCCACGGAAGACCCTGCTGAGCCCCTCCTCTTCCTCATCTCGCAGCCCCAGGATAGGGCTCGAATCTCCCTCCTTCCTTCTGCACCAGGGGGCCGGACCCACCACAGTCACAGGCGATCTCTTGGGCCCCCTGTGTGTGCCCAGCCCTGTCCGTCTTCCCTCCCACCCGCCTCCCCAGGAGCCCTGGACAGATCCTGCCTGCCCCTCCCCGCACAGAGGCAGGGCTGCTCACAAAGGTGAGTCACTCGCCTGCAGCCACCCAGCTAGGAAGGTGCAGAGCTGGGATTCAAACCCAGGCACCCAAGCCCTCCGTTCCCACCTCCGCACTACAGCCTCCCATCCCACACAAGAGCACAAGAGGCCCCGGCCCAGTGGAGGCCCTGGGAAAGAACAGATCAACGCCCCTGCCTTGGAAGAGCCGACATGCTGGTGGGGGCAAACATGACAAGTAGTCACAGACAGATGCTGTCAGGAGGCGAGGTCAGCAAGGGCCTCGGTCTCTGTGATCTCAGCACTCGGGAGGCTGAGGCAAAAGGATCGCTGCGAGTTCTAGGCCAGTCCCCAAACCAAACTAGTAACAGCTAACTATCACCATGCACCTCCTCGGTGCTGGGCTCTGCTGTCGAGCTTATCCATGGAGCCGTGATGTCCGTCACAGGCCCCCGCTGTCTCCGGGGTGGGTCTCGCCGCTCTGAGCCTTGGTCTCCTGCAAGTTGGCGCAGGGTCCAGGCCGGCGGTCCCGGGCCCGGCTCACGGCGCTCGGGCGCTCTGTCCGCAGGGCGGCGCCGCAACGTGAACTGCCTCAAGAACGTGGTCATCTGGTACGAGGACCACAAGCACCGCTGTCCCTACGAGCCTCACCTGGCGGAGCTGGACCCCACCTTCGGCCTGTACACCACAGCCGTGTGGCAGTGTGAGGCCGGCCACCGCTACTTCCAGGACCTGCACTCACCGCTGAAGCCCCTCAGCGACTCGGACCCCGAAAGCGACAAAGGTGGGTGTGCGGGGTGACGGCGCCTGAGCCCTCGGGGAGCCCAGGCGGGACTGCGGGTGCTGGGCACAGGCCTGGCAGGGTGCACACTGGCCTGTCGCCTTTGGTACCACCCTTCTTTTCTCCGCCTCCTGTTCTTATTGGTGTGGATTTTGAGATGTTCCTGCTGTGTAGTCCCAGGCTGGTCTCAATTCGAACTCACAGTCCCCCTCCCTCAGCCTCCCAGCTGCTGGGATGACAGGCGTCCACCCCACACCTGGCTTTCCTGGCCCTGGTTTTATTTTCTCCAGCTCTCTCTCAGGTCTGTCACTCGCTTCTTCTTCCCCTCTGTCCTTTTTCTCTCCCACCTCTCTCTCCTCAGGCCCCTGTCCCCTCCTGAGCTGAGCCTCCTTCCTGTACCTTGGTCTCTTTCTTTCTCCTGTTCCCCCGCTCCCACTGTCCCTGTGCCTTTCCCTTCCGTAGCCCACTCCGGTCACACTGGGCCGACTGCCCATCAAGGACCAGGAGGGACGCAGTGACCAAGGTGCAGTAGATCCCCGGGCAGCAGAGGGAACCCCCTTGGTGAGGGGCCGCTGCTGGCTAGGGCTTGGCGTGGCTGAGAGAGGAGCATGGGGCCGCTGCCAGGTGCCCTGCGGGGCCCAAGGGTGGGGTCAGTCCGCAGGCCAAGCCCGCCCTGGCAGGCAGCATGGAGCAGGTGGCATCCCAGCTGGCCAAGGGGAAGCCGGGGCCAGAGGTGTTCCTGCTGGGCACGACGCCCACAGCCATCCCGTTGGGCTCAGCCAGGCTCCCGGCACACAGGTGTCCTGTGCCGTGACCAGTGCCGCCCCCGCACTCTGCCCCCTCCAGGTCCCACTTGTCCAAGCCCCAGAAGTGACAAGGTCAGGATGGGTCGGGTGGGCCTCAGAGTGAGCACTGTGGTCCGCTGGCCACATCGCAGGATGGCGAGCAAGCAGCCTTGACCCTGTCCTGGCCCTGGCCCTGAGCAGCTGTTTCTGCCTGCCCTGTGCCTGGTGACCTCTCCCATGGCTATTTCTGCCTCTGTTTGTGTGCGTGCGTCCTTGTGCATGTGTGTGGCACTGAGGATGGAAGCCAGGGCCTCTCCACTGAGCTGCATCCCCACCACCTCCCTCTTCTTATTTTGAGACAGGGTCTTGCTTAGTCACTCAGTTGCTCAGGATGGGCTCGAACTTGTGATCTTCCTGTCGCAGCCCCCCAGAGTGCTGGGATTATAGGACTGAGTACTACCAGGTAGGGGTATTTAGGTTTGTTTGTTATGAAGCAGTGTCTCATTATGTCATCCAAGCTGGTCTCAAACTTGCAGTCCTCCTGCCTCAGCCTCCTGAGTGCTGATCTCTGTATTACCTGGAGAGCAGTCCTGGCTAGCTGTAAGAGCTAGACTCCAAAGTCAAGTGCTGGCCCTGCCCCAGTGCACGGGGTGGCTGCCCCCACTTCAGGGCGGTGCACAGGGCTCAGCTTGCCCTACAGATGACGGAACCGTGAAGTGTTACTGTTAGCAGAGGGGCTGATGCCCCTCCCAATTCAGGTTTGGGCATTTCGGCGGCTGGGTCAGCTTCCTGTCACTGTAACAAATACCTGAGATAACCAGCTTTAATGTTAATGAGAAAACAGGTTTAATGTTACCTCACAGCCTCCAAGGTCCACAGTCAGGCGGCTGTTGCTTTTAGAGCAGTGGGGCCAGATGAATAGCAGTGGAGACAGCAAGTGGTAGAGCCGAATCACCCCCCTCGGGAGGAAGCAGCCAGCCCACCACACCCCCAGGGCAGGGCCGTGTGATCCCCAGCTGTGTCGGGCGTCTCCACAGCATCCAGCATGAGCAGTACCGGCACCTTCTGGCAGCGAGGTTAGTTAGGAGACTCAGTTCTCACAGCACTGGTCGTTCATTGATTCAAACGTGCCCTCGCCATGTCCCCAGCGGCCTTCTGAGCAGGGGTGGCTCTGCCCAGGGGCCTCTGTCCTCAAGAGGGCAGCAGTTAGCAAGAGACAGAATAGCTGAAGGTGTTAAGCACCTTAGGGAAAAGAAGAGCAAAAGAGGGTGCTGAAAAGATGGCCTTTGCTGAAGCGTTTGTGGGAGGTGAGGAGGGCCTCAGGGTACCGGGCAGAGGGAATAGCGAATGCAAAGGCCCTGGGGCAGGAATTTGCCTCAAGTCTTTGGGGAGCAGCAGACTTGTGAGGAGAGGAGGCAGGGGGTGACTGGACAGGGGCAAGTGGCCACAGTCATTGCCTCGGCTGCTCTCCCTGCGAGTGGATAGGATTTCGCAGGGAATGCAGACCACACAAAGTTCAGGGTCCTTAACCCGTACGCTGACTTTCTCCTGGGGACCCAGGTTCTTTCCATCCTGTGGCTCCAGCCCTCCTTCCGGATCCTGGCTGGCAGGTATGGACAGAGAAGTAGAACGCCCCCGTCTGCTTCTGTTCTGTTGGCTGGAACCAGCCACGGGCCACACCTACGTGCCGCAGGGTATGCGGAGCTGGTCTGCCCTGGTGCCAGGAGGAAGGGCGGGTTTGGGCGCAGCTGCTTTGTGATGAGCAAGCGCTCAGGAGAGCCAGGGCACCGAGAAGGGACTCCACGAGGGTGATGGGACTGTGAGCAGCACTTGCCAAGGAGGGAGGAGGAGCCGTCGGGCTGTGGGGGAATGAATTGTGAACGTAGCCCCGATGATTTTTGCTGACAGATTGGGAGTGGGCATGACAGAATGAAGTAGGATAAACCCAGGACTTTGGCCCAAGGAGTGGACACAGAACGGCCACCTGCTGAGACGGGGACACCTGTGAGAGGTGTGGGCTCTTGTGGAGGGAAGATTCAGTGAGGAGGAGCTGGTGTTGCCGAGCGTTTCTGAGATGGCTGAGATCCCCAAGTTGACAGTGGGAAGGGTACAAGATAAAAAAAAGTCCAGAGTTCAACAGGGGAGGCCGAGACTCATGGCCGTGGTTGGTCGTAGTACCATAAACATGCAGGTACTAAATTTCCTTTTACATTATTTTATACAAGGGAATAAGCCACCTTGCACTTCAGTTCCTGGACCCTTCCCCCTGTGGACACCTGGGGACAACTCTGGTCATCGCCTTCAGTTCTTTACACAGAGCTCCCAAAAGTCCTTGAAATTCCTGAGTTATGGCAGTGGGTTTTGTTTTCCCAGGCACCCCCTTTGGGACACCCCTAAATCTGTGCTAATGAGGTAACTCAGGGTGAGGCCCGTAAGCCCTCCTGGGTGTGAGCTGATCCCCCGAAGCCAAACATGCCAGGTTCAGTGATGCACACCTGTCATCCCAGCTATTCAGGAGGCTGAGGCGGGGGACTTGCAAGTTCGAGACCAGCCTGGGCATCTTCGGGGGCCCCTGACCAAAACCAAAGGGTTGGGGATATAGCTCAGTGCTTCCTGGGTTCAGTCTCCAGACAGACACACAGACAGACAGACAGACACACACACACACACACACACACACGCACGCGGCATGTGATTAGGGCGAGGACTAGTCAGGGGCTGGAGGCAGCAGTGCAGAGGCCCCCAGGCTGGTGGGCGTATTGAGGCGCCAGGAGGGCGGCACCTTCGCCATGCACGGAAGCCCCACTCCCTGCCCAGGTTCTGCAGCCAGGTCCCTCCCTTCACAGTAAAGCTGAGACCCTGTGGGGCGTGTTTTGCCGAGTTCTCTGAGTTGTTCGAACACAATATGGAACCCCCACCTCGCAGCTGGCCGGCCAGACAGACAGGGTCGCCTTTCAGCGAGGCCATCCGCCACCGCACTGCCACGCCACTCTCCCCTTCCTCTCCACAGTGGGTAACGGCCTGGTGGCCGGAAGCTCCGACTCGTCCAGCTCCAGCTCGGGCTCTGACTCCGAGGGGCCTCCAGAGAGTCACCCAGCCAAGGGCTCCTCGGTGGTGACTGCCGCAGCGGTGACAGCGGTGGCCGTGCCTCCCCCCAGCCCCGTGGGCAGCAGCGGGCTCATCACGCAGGAGGGCATGCACATCCCCTTCGACGTCCACCACGTGGAGAGCCTGGCCGAGCAGGGGGCCCCGCTGTGCCCCAACCCTGCAGCCAGCAGCCCCGAGGCCCTGGAGGCAGTGGTGTGCGTGCCCGTGCCGGTGCAGGTGGGCGCCGGCCCCGGCACCCTCTTTGAGAATGTGCCCCAGGAGGCACTGGGCGAGGTGGTGGCCGGTTGCCCCGTGCCAGGCATGGTGCCCGGCTCGCAGGTGATCATCATCGCAGGCCCTGGCTACGATGCCCTCACGGCCGAGGGCATCCACCTCAATGTGGCCGCAGGCAGCGGCACCCCCAGCAGCGGCCTGGGCGAGGAGGTGCCCTGTGCCATGATGGAGGGCGTGGCAGCCTACACTCAGACGGAGCCCGAAGCCAGCCAGCCCAGTGCCATGGACCCCACCTCTGTAGCCGGCATGGAGACCAAGAAAGGTCTGGGCAGCCTCGCTGTGGCCTCTGGCAGGGGTTGGGTGGGACCCAGACACGGGCTCCTGGGCAGCCCTCATCCCCCATGGACACCCCCCTGTGTCCACCCATAGAGAAGGAGGACCTGCACGTGCTCAAAAAGGAGAAGGAGGAGCCGGCGGCCCCACAGCTGGCAGAGCTGGCAGCGACGCTGCCCGAGAGCACAGAGCCTGAGGCCGAGGTGGACGGCGAGGAGCCAGACAGCAGCAACATGTCTGCCATCATCTACGAGATCCCCAAGGAACCTGAGAAGTGGGTGCCAGGGGCCGAGGTGGGGGTGAGGGCCAGGAGCAGCTGGGGCTCGCACCCTGACACGGGGCCTTCCTCCCAGGAGGCGGCGGAGCAAGCGGTCGCGGGTGACGGATGCCGATGGCCTGCTCGAGATGTTCCACTGTCCCTACGAGGGCTGCAGCCAGGTCTACGTGGCCCTCAGCAGCTTCCAGGTGAGGCCACACTCCGGGCCAGGCTGCCTGTGCCTGCCGGCTGCCCCAGCCTGGGGTCTGTCCCCGCACCCTCAGCCCAGTCAGCAACAGATGCATGTCCAGCCGGAGCACTTGCTGGACATCTTGTCCTGCTGGAAGGGCGTGGCAGCAGGCATTGAGCAGCGAGTGTGCACAGGCCCATTCTGTGGGTTAAAGAATAAGATCAAACGGCGGGTCACTGTGAGTCAGCCTGGACTACACAGTGAGTTCCAGGTCAGTCTCAACTACATGGTGAGACCCTGTCTCAAAAAACCAAAAAAGAATAAGATCAAAGGAGAGAGCAAAAGAACTGCATAGCACCAAGTCAGAGAGCCCCAGCCCTGCCACTGCTCACCCTGAGACATTCGCCCAGGCACTGAGCCTCCGGAGCCTCCATTTGTCCATCCACAGATGGTAACAGCCCGGGCGGGCCCTTCCCAGGGTTCACTGACTGCAGCTCAGAGCTTGGCATACAGCAAGTGCGCGGTCAGCTGCTCTCTGACCCTCGTGGTGTCCCCGGGAATCAGCTGCACAAGTGCTCCCCACTTTGGGCCCAGCCTGCCTCCCAGCCACCCCATCTCTCCCCACACTTGGGAACCCCTCAGATGGGCCCCACACCCACTCCTGTCCCTCTCACCCCTAGAACCACGTCAACCTCGTGCACCGGAAAGGGAAGACCAAAGTGTGCCCTCACCCCGGCTGTGGCAAGAAGTTCTACTTGTCCAACCACCTGCGGCGGCACATGATCATCCACTCAGGTCAGGCCCTGGGCCAGCTGGGGACACGGACGGGGCCTGGCGGGCGATAGAGCGGGCAGGTCACAGCCTGGCACCGGGCCCCTCATGGGACGCCACACAAGTCAGCGTCACTGTCAAAATCACACAGGCCTGGGTGAGAGGTGACTGTCCCCTGCCCATGGCAGGAGCAGGTTTCATATGGGACTCATGACAGGGCGTGGACAGTGAACTGCCTTCTGATAACAGTGCCTGCTGCTTAGCCTCATTTTGTATCCTGGTGGTACTGGGGACCGAAATCAGGGAGCCCTGAGCTACATCCTTAGCTACTTTTATTTTTTATTTTGAGACAGGATCTCACCAAGATGTTCAGACTGGCATCAGGCTTTTATTTTAAGTTTTTTTTTTTTTTTTTTTTTTTTTTTTAATTTCGGTACCGAGGAGCAAACTCAGGACCTTGTGCTTGGGAGGCAGGTGGCAGCACCTGAGCTAAAATCCCAGCCCAGCATCAGGCTTTTTTGGATCCTCCTACCTCAGCCTCCCAGACTGCTGGGAGTAAAAGCATGTGCCACTCTACCTGGCAGTTGATTTTTTGCCTTTTTAAAAAGGCAAAGCAAACACTGCAGAAATACCGAATGCCAGAGATGGCACACACTGGGGATAAATCCAGACCCAGCTCACCTTAGCACCTCACACTCTGTGCCCCTCAGGGACAGGAGTTCCAATCCCGGCTCTGCTTGGGCGCGAGGCTGGACAGTGACCTGCCACTTCATATCATCTTCTGTCATCATTAGAAGGGACAGAGGCTCTGGCAGGAGGTGGGGTCTGGCCGGCCTGCACCCCCAGGCCTGGGAGCCGCCGCCGCTGCCTCTGTAGCACGCCAAGGCCACCCTGCAGCCCCCGCCCAAGGGCAGCGC